CCCCAAAACCCCAAAACCCCAAAACCCCAAAACCCCAAAACCCCAAGTAGATGGTATTATTGAAATTAAAATTATGAAGAATTCAAATTTAGTTAGTTATTGGGGATTTGAGTGCTGAAGAGGAGGTAGCTGGTCAGGTCTCATTCTTCCATCATTGCCCTTAAAATTAGAGATCATTATGGAGATATCCTCCTTTGTGTAATCAAAGTTTGTCTTTGCACTCAGGGAGTGGAGGAGGAGGGAATAGAAATCAAATGCAAGAGCAGCATCTCTTTCATCCCTATAGCTTCCGATATAAGTTTTTCTCTTTTTAATAGTAATCAAAGATTGCCAATGTGGGCCGTTTCTTGAGACACCAATGTACTCGGATCTTTTGTTACTAATCGGTCCTCTCCTGGATTGAGCCTTCTTCTTAGCAGAGACAAGTACAGTATTAGAGGTGATGGCTTGGACAACTTGGGAGAGAGCTTCGACTCTTTCGTTAAAGTTGCCAAGTTTGAACATCAAGTTTTTCTTAGCTTTCGATCTTTCAGTTTCTTCATGCCTGGAGCGTCTAGAAGTCCTCTTGGGACTCTTCTGGTTGCTCTTCATTGCAGAAGAGCTGCTCTCAGAGACACTAGGCTCTTCCTGTGCAATGGAAGAAGGGCTAGCAAGATCTTCCTTCTCTTTGTGTTGGAAGAAAGAATTGGTAGGATTTTCTCCTAAATTTTGAGGGCTTGATTGGGTATCTTTTTGCTCTCATAAGCAAAATTTGTCCTGAAGTTCTGCCAAAGATACGTCAGAGAAGCCCAATATCTCCTGGAAAGGAGCTATAGCTGGCACCTGAGTCATTGAGTTAATGAACAGCTCTTCAGTGGCATTTGGGAGTGGGAGTTCTCTTCTTGAGTCATGCAACTAAAAGAGTTTAGATGTCAGATACTTTTTAGAATAGATTTCAGGAAGGGTAGTAAAAGGACTAAAAGCTAAACTTGCATAAGTTTAAAAATATAGTATGCCTAGACTTACCTCAATACTCTGACAGCTCCTTGGAGTTGTCATGGCTATATCAAAGCCACTGTTGGTCATAACCTGGCTTATAGGTGAAAATTTTGGGGATGTGTTAGAGATCCAAAAAGTATTCATTTTCTAGTTTAAAATTATAAAAATGCTGAGCTTAAATAATACATGGGATCGAGATTAGGAAAATTTTGTAATTTATGCCAATTTTATTTTTTCATAAACTGTCTCTGAAAATTTCTATAAAGCAGCTGGAACTTGACCGAGGCTACTCTTTATCAATTTTGAGAGTTAGAGCAGCCATCTCTAAATATCTGGAGGTGAAGAATAAACCTATTGCTGTTTTTATCGTAACGATCAAAACTTATATATATTTCTTCAATAGTAGTCAAAACTGTCAAATTTCTAACAAGATTCTTGACCTTAAATGCCGAAAAGAAGAGTAGAATGTTCTTTGCTTATACTGAGGGCTTCTAGAAACCCTAGCTAGGCTTGGAACCAAGCCCTCAAAGCCAGGGATTGAAGAGTTTGGAATTTGGGAATGGATTTAAAAGGAGTATTTTAAGCAAAGTTCTTCCAGACAAAGATTCTTTTCATAATTTAAAATTTTAACAGGAGAACAGGATAATAATTTTCGTGTCTATTAGACACCCCATTATGACTGCGGATCAGATATTTAGCTCCTCTGAAATATGATGAGGAGCTCTTTAGACAAGTGTTCTCGAACAATTATGAATTTTTCTAAAGAACTTTAGTTAAAATTCTATGCTGTCCCTCTTTCTTACAAGGAGATAAGAATAATATTTCCCATCTGGATGGCCACTTTTGATGCAATTCCTGCAGTATTTCATGTTTCATTTTGCTGGAATGAATTTGGGCGGGCCAGTAAGTTTGGAAAATCTTTCCATTCGAGATACTATTAAAAGGATTATTAATCAACTCTAAATTTTAAAAGATATCCAAATTTTTACAGATATGTGTTCAAATCACAAATCAAAGGATGCTAAGACTTCATGGCAAGATTAAGAGCAAAGAATGAAGCTAAATTTAATATGTGCGAAATAACAAAAAGAGGGTTGTTTCAAGGGATGATACCAGTCCAAAGCTGGCTGCATGTAAAATTTTAACCTGTCTAAATTGCCCTAAATCGTCATCCTTTAAAATAATTCATTGGAGTCTTCCACTACAGAAATCTTATTGGCTGAGAAGCTTTAGGCAAGCTGAGCATTCCTGATTGGGCTTTAGTAATTATGAGTGACAACAAGATGCAAAAACTCGGCTTTTGGCTAGTTGAGGCCATCCAAAGATGACTCATTGCTACAGCTTATGTCGAGTCCGGATCTATCCGATGGTGACTCTACATCACCAAGAAAATTATGAACTACGTCAGAGAAATTAGGAAGGAATTGACTTCGATATTTTCTAAAAATGAAGAAAGAAAGAACTGTGAAATACTCATCTGAGATCTTTTCCAGAACAGCACCTTGGGTGAGTTCTAAAATCTCTAACCATTCCTCCATCCATTAAAGGTGGGAAGGCTTAAGAGCATCTTAAATTTACAACAAGGATTATTTTCTGAGTTGATTACCTTAAAATTGGGCCAACGATCGCTAATTTTGTGTGCAGCATTAAAAAGGGTATCAAATAGTTTAAGAAAGCCTAGTTAGACTTCTGGGAGGACTCTCAAAAACTTTCGAGAAAAGAAGATATCTTTTACAAACACTCCTAAAATCTCATTTTAATACCTATCTGGAACAAGATTTTTCGATGAAGCAAATCTTTCTGACATGATGCCAATTTGAAAAGCCTAGGCGATTTAAAGCATATCTAACCTAAAGTTAAGCTTGCTGGAGATCTCAGGACCTGGAGAGCCTGCAATTATTTTACCGTGAATAAAGACGACCTTAATAAAATTTGTAAGGAAAATACCTCTACAGCTCATGTTTAGCAGTAGATAATTTCATCTCAAAATTTTATCCGTTTTGGAAAGATTTTTATGAATATTAGTAAACAGTGATTTGATGCTTCCCCAAAATTTTGGAGACTTCAATAATCTGCTCAATTCGAAAACTTCGAAATTTTCGAAAAGGAATCCTTTCAGAAAATCTTGTCCTTCTGGCTTTGGAATTAGCAAGGATAAGACCTGGAACTATTCTGTTGTACTATTTAGCTTAAAAGACCAGTTATACCAAGCCCTAGCTTACCTTTGTTATCGTGCCAAATACATGAATCCAATTCTTGGAATAGATTTCTTAATGATGAAAATGCATGAGAAGAAGGATCCCGCCTGGTTAAGGCTCAGGGGATAAGATTTCAGTTATTTTGGAAGTTATTCAGGAAAGTACCCAGCCATTATATAATCAATTATCGGAAATCATACAAGAAATTCTTCATATCATGAATTTGTCAGGCTGGATGTAAATTTGGTAGGTATCCAAATTTGACCTAAGCCAATAAAATTAGCAATGTAAGCTCTTTTAGGCAGCTTTAGGCCTAAATTCTGTGTTCTAGGATCAAACACTCTGACTTTAGCCAGTGAGGACGAAGTCCTATGGTAAGAGTAGTATTTTTATGCCATATCAGGATTAAGATTTGGACCATAATTCTCTTTAAAATTTACCAGACATCTTTTGAATGAGGACAGAGATAGTATAGAGATAAGTTTGGACCTGCAAAAAGAAAATAAGACAATTTTGTGAAGCGCTGGAAATAATGTGAGGTCGGCCTGGATTGGTAGTAAATGATGTAATTTTAAGACTAATCAATTTCAATTCAAATTACACTCTTTGGGGTTTTGGGGTTTTGGGGTTTTGGGGTTTTGGGG